CTTAAAAATAGGGACCAAAATATTCTTCCTCCACATGCATCTTTATAGTTTTTAAAATAATATTTAAAAGTTTGGTAAGCCAAAAAACTATCAAATCTCCTAAACACTTTCACACTTCTATTGAAATACCATCAATTCCTACTTATTTTTCACACTTCATTTTCTTTGAAGTTTCATCAACTTATGTTTTACTTATGCAACGGTAAAAATAAAAAGTTTTATTATTATTAATAATATTATTATCACTGAAATCAATTGTATTTTTAAAATCTTCATTGAAAAGTTTATCAAAATATCTCACCCACATATATTGAATATTCTCATCTAAGAAAAAACTTTTTTATTTTCATCTTTAATACACGAACTAAATCACAATTTATATCTTTGTTTGGTCAATTTATACAAATATATTTTATCATCTTTATTATCTAATATATTATAAAGATCACTAAAAGTAGAATTTTTAACTTCACAAATTATTCTCGTAGACTCCCTACGACCAGCCTTATATTTCTTTTTTTCTAATTTTCTATGTTTTTATATTTAATCCAATTTTATAATAAATTTTTTAATATTTTAGCTTTTCCTGCATTATTATACCACCACCAACTATTATTATTTATAAGAGTTTTTTTTTCCCACACAATATTAGCTTTTTCATGAACATCTCAAATCTTAATATCTTGAATTTTACTTATAAAAATATTTTATCTGTCTTTTAAATGGCCCCATTTAATTATATAATCATTTTTTTTATTGTATTTTTTATCTTCTAAACATTTATCTTAAAATCCAATGCAAATGATCAATATTAAGTACTTAAATTTGTAATTGAAATGACCTGACAATCTAAATAATCTCTACAATCAATTCTACTCATATAAAAAAAAAAATTCAATGTGCCTTGGTAGATTTTTTCTTTGAAGGGATAATATGCTCATGTATTTTCTTAAATTAAGTATTAGTAATAATAAAATTATAAGCTAAAACAATATCTAATATGAATTTTTTTTCTTCATTAGTCCTGTGGTCACCATGAATATTTCTAAAATCTTAAATCATTCTACCAACATATTCATTTAAATCTTCTCCAATAAAAATTTTTTCTTCCTAAGATATTATTTATATTAATACTTCCAGGTCTTTCTAAATTTTTTTTGAGCATGTATCTAAACCTACTTGAGGAACAAGCGCTTATAACAGTAAGAATCTTAACAAAAACAACAATCTTTAGAGTTCTAATTCTATTATCACTTATCCATCATGGTCACCATGGATACTTTTCCAGATATGGCACACTTCACCGCCTCTATTAAGAAAACATTTGATACAATGACTATTATCTGTTCTTCCACAACATAGCAAGGCTAAACTGCATCCCATCAAACTTAACCTTTGATAAGATCGTTAAATTTGTGAGTCATCTTTTGTAAGAATTATAGAAGAGGCTCGAAATTGATAGTCAACTTGGCTCGACATGGCCTTCTCAAACAAATGGCCAAATAGAGGTCGTCAATTGTCCCTTAGGGAATATATACAGTGCCTAATTGGAGAACGCTCCAATAGTGAGGCGATGCCCTCAGTTGAGCCGAATTCACCTACAGTTTCTTGCTTTTCGACTTGCTATTGACTACACAAAGACACCAAACTATGCCATGGACATGTCTACTCTTCCAACAATAAAACAACAGCAACCATGGCAACCTATTTTGAAAACATGATCAGCAATATTAGGCACAAATTTCAGCTGTCAAATGACTAATACAAGCACACAGATAATAACCATCGGCTCCTCAAATCCTTTGAGTCTGAGGATCCTTTCATGGCCCGTTTATGTGAGGAATGCTTTCCTCCGGGTACTCAAAGCTCGCCGCAGGAAAGTTTGGCTCTTGTGGTTCACAAGATAAATGACAATGCTTATGTACTCTCACATCCACTAGATTTGCACACCTCCCTCTTATTCAATGTTCAGATCTCTATTAGTGACTTCTTACCATTGGCTCCATCACACCCCCTTTGAACTCTTGATGAGTTCTTATGAAGCAGGGGAGATTTGATGCAGGACCACCATAGATATATCTGTTATTGTGTGGAGCCTGATTTGGAGCATCATAGTGGAAGACAGCAGGCGCGGCTCTTCAAAGCCAACTTCGGGCGCTCGTGCGCCCACAACTTGGAAGACCACCACAAGCTGCAGGCTCGGTGCTCCAGTGCCCAACCCGAGGTTAGGCGCCCTTACTCTCACGTCTCGGTGCACTTGCGGTTCTAGGCTTTTCTTTCCTGAGCCACCGGTGCTCCAGCGCCCACTTCCAGGCGCTCTTGCGCCAAATGCAGTTGGCTCCCTGTTTCGATTTAAGAGGCTCTTTTCAGCAACGAAAAATGTAGATTCCAGCGCTTGAGTTCTTCGACAAGCTTACGGTGAAGGAGAGAAGTGTCGGGGAGGAGGATTTCGATGCGTGTTTCTCTTGACGGATCGAGAGGAAGGATTTGGAGCGAAGTGTTGTAAATTTCTTTGATTATAGAGAGGAAATTTAAGTGAGTTTTCTGTTAACTTTTTAATTTTTTGGTGATGTGGTTCTATGGTTTTTTCCCATTTTCGGGTTTTTCGGCACTAAATTCTTGTGTGCTTTTTTGGATTGTCTTTGCTATGCTTTTATTTGTATTTTTGTTCCGGTTATGTCAAATCTGTGCGATTCTATTCCGTAGTATGGTTTAGATTCTAATTGAATCTAAGCCCCCGTATAATATAAGAGGATTTATCATCCCAACACTTTCTCCCGAGAGTGCACATCACCCCTACCATATTATTACAGCTTTCTATTATAGACTGCATTTCAAGTTCTACTTTTTTAACTTAATAGCCTGTTTTTGAAGCCTTCTTTGCAGCTATCATATATTAATTTGTATTCACGCAACTTTGATCATTTGCTGTTATTTAACAATGATATACTGTTCTCTGGTTTAGTCTACTTCTCCTTCCCTACTTTGTTTATTGCTTTTGGGTTCTTACACCATTGATGGATCTCTTTCTGGATAACAAGAGAAAAGTTGATCGAGGATAACATATAATTATATTACACGGGTTTTGATTAAACATGTAGTATACAATCAGAAAAAAAATCAAATTTGAATGATGAGGAACTTCTATTGTAATAAAATGGTTGGTGCAAGACAAACTATTAATTCGATGATGGGTGAAGGATTTGGTTGTCCTACCAATGACTAAGTTCTATATCTTCACCAGAAAATCAATTAAAACTTTAATAATTGTAGAAATACAAATCTAAAACTAATTATCTAGAAGATTGAAAGAAACACAGCACAAGAATTAAAATTTTAATTAAATTCCATAACATTTTCACAAGATTAAAGCATAAATAAATAAAATGGTTGCAAATAGAGATTTTATTGTTAACTGGTTTTGACCAAATTTAAGCTAATCACTGAGACAGAAGTATGGATAAAATTCTATAAAGGTGGTCGTCTATAGAAAATGTAAATAAGAAAGAATACTACAAATCAACCGAAAGATTGTTTTTAAGAGCGGTCCTTATCATAACAATAATTTTCAACTTTGATCGTCTTTCTTCAACGGTTCTACACTCTCACATTAGTTTCCTCTAGTAACTAGACATGAATACAAGTAGTGGAACATAAGCTTGCATTCATAAATAAGTGCCTTTACATTCCAAATGAATAAGTATATCTAATAGGCATGATGGGGAAATTCTAATATTCACTTGAATGTAAGGAAGGAGGGAAAGAAAATAAAAGTCATCGGGAAAAAAGAGAAGAAAATTTGAAATAAAAAATATGGTGTAGAAAACCAAGGAATGTAAAAATTGTAGAGAAATCAAAGGTTCACGAGAGAATTAAAGAAGTTAAAGCATGAAAAAGGGGATTTGGGTGACTTTTAACTCAATAATACATCCATAACACTGTAGAATACAGAATCCCATATGACCAATAAGCAACAATGACCCAACAATATGAAAAGACTCAAAATACATGTACATGATTTAATTTTCTCAGCAGACATAAAAATCACTTTATAGAGCTTCAACAATTAACTGCAAGTGTTTATCACCGTCTGACTCTCTCTCTCTCTCTCTCTGTTCATTAAAAAAAGTAGCTGTTACGATAAGCTATTCTATATTTGACATTTCAATTTGCTCGGTCAATTTACTCATGGCAACATCATCATCATTAGCAATATAGCTAATCCCCAGTATTTCAGGGTAGCTTTCATTAATCGTCACTATGCAGCGCATTAGGCTTCTTGTTAATGTAGCGTCTTGGTAGGAGTTGATGCATGTAATCTTACCTCTACATTGTAGGTTAGTTTTTACCATAATTCGGACCTGGACTTACTTTTCGAAGGGCTAAAAGGTATATGCTTTAAAATTGCAATAGATGTGTAATTTTATGTGAATTTGTCAATCGCTAAAGGAGCATCTAACAGCTAAATTTGGTTTTGTGGAAAGAATATTCAGATGGTGGTGTGAAAAAATATAAACGTTAATGATAACAAGTAGAGCCTACGCTAATGGGATTGTAAATATATTTAGGGGCATTTACATACATGCCACACAATTCTTATTTTATTTACATATCTAACCCCTAAGCATTCATATTTACATGATACCACTTAAATTTAACATCACGTCAAAAATACCACCATCACTATCTTCTTAAAACTGAAATACACCTTCTAATGCGTAGATTTATGACACCAAGGTGTTATAAGTGTAAAAAATCAAACTTTGGGTGATAGATATGTAAATTCAAAGGAATTGTGTGCATTGTATGTAAATTTTCCATCCAATTAATATTGTAAAAAAGAGCTAGATGAATGTTAATATACCAATACTAAATAATTGTAAATTGGCATAAGTTTGTTTCTAAAGTTGTCATGATTTCCTTGTGATAGTAAAATTGTTTCTAAACTTCAATATTCTCTCCCTGTTTCCAAATAATGTTTCTAAACTTTCTGATGCCAGGGTTTCGCAACACAAGCAGCCAAATCTCAGCCTCCGTAACCCAAAACGGAAAATATGTCATCTGCGCCAGTGAAGATTCCCATATTTACGTCTGGAAACATGACACGGATCCCAGACCAACCAGAAGCAAAGTAAACATCAATACCAGACAGACATACGAGCATTTCCATTGCCGTGATGTAACGGCCGCCATTCCATGGATAAATGCTGCCGCCACCACCTATAACACCCCCGGCGAAACAACTCCTCATGGCTTCAAAACCCCGCCACCGCCGCAGCCGCCCATAAATGGCCTTTCTCAAAACTCAAAACTTAGCCTCCAGCTTCTGGACGAATCCAACGGCCATGAGTCTATTATTGACTCGCTACGGCCACCCGGTATTGTTGGCTCGAACACGAATCAGTTCGGCGATCGAGCTTCGGCGACATGGCCGGAGGAGAAGCTGGTGGTGTCGTCAGAGCAGAGCAGTCCTGAGAGCAGCACGGATCGGAGTGATGGAGGAATTCATCTGCAAAGCAAGTCAGCTTGGGGAATGGTGATCGTCGCCGCCACGAGAGGAGGCCGGATCAGAACATTTCAGAACTTTGGGTTTCCTGTGAGAGTATAATAGTGCGTGTGGAAGTTGCTGGCAAGTTTATCAGCTCTGCAGTAGATTTGTATAGATAGAGGAATATATGGCGAGGAGATATGTAATATCTGTTGTTTGTTATGATTTTATTTTTATTTTTATTTTATTTTTCAACCGCCTTCAATTTGAATTAATGTGCGTCGTTTTGTTCCAGCTGAAAAGAAATAGTGCTGCCTTGTGCAGATAAAATGTATGGTGAAGCTAGTTCAAAGAGAAGGTTCTTTGCAGAGTCTCATTTGAATTGAATTTTTTTTCTTAGATGATGATAATTAGAGGCAATAGCTTGATGCATGGTGATATTGAATGACTCCAGATTATGATATTCTAATATATAGTTAATATGAAGCAAAATCGTTTAAAGGAATTTAGGAAATTTAAGGTTTAGAAGACATCAATTGAGTGGGCAGCTTATTTTTGTTGAGAAGTTAATGGTGGCCAGATGGTAATAAATTGGTCTAATTAATTTGATAAATTTAGCAAGAATTCATTCCCATGGTAAAACTAATAAATAATTGTAAAATTTTTTTCATATTTGAGCAAGATTAAAACACTAATTAAACCAATATTAAATTTTAGGCTCTGTTTCGCACAGTTTCTCAGTTTTTCAGCTGCAGCTGTGACTGCTGCGGGGAAGTTAGTTGCATGTTTGTTGCAGTTGTGTGAAAATAGCTATGGGACAATTGTTTTTAAAAAAACGATCATTTTGCCCCTGTTTAGTAAAATTGTTTAAAACAGAACTGTGATGACTATGTCAGATAAGAACTAATCAATGTATGTTAAGGAAATTGCTACGAGACGTTATAAATTTTTATTTAAAAACAGATTATGAAATAAACTAGAATACATTTACAAGACATTCACAGATTTTGAAATTAGAACTCTACAAGAATACCAAAATAAATGTACCAAATTAAGTGATATCGAGCCTTATGCTAAGAATGTGAAGTATCCCTTAGAATGTAATAGCCACTATTTGCTTGTAAAAGAAATCAAATCTAATTTGTATATATATTTATTCATGTTAAACTTGTTTCCTTTATTCTCAAAATATTTATTTATAGATTTTTTTAAAAGCATCAACATGATTAGCAGGCTAGCTATTTTCAAAATTGAATTAATAATCCATTCAATTTTTTTTTAATTTCGAATTAAATTATTTTTCTGATCAGTTGACTCACACATCCAATCTTGCAACAATAAAAAAATCATATGTAACACTATCGAAACTGGTAGTTCATTAAGTAGTTGATGTTCGATTCATTTGTTAATAAAATAAGCCAAACATAAATAATTTTTTTCATGTTCGATATATAAGCAAGGCAATCACACAAAAATTTATTCATTATATAATTGAATTGTATTGTTTTTCAATTTTTAATTGACAACAAAGCTACAAAGTTTTATAATTAATTAAAATTATAATTAAAAACATATTGAAATTATATTAATTTTTCTTTAAAAGAATATTTTAATATAAATAGTAATATTTAAATCCCGCCCCTACTTTTATTATCCTACGGTTGCATGATTAGGGCTGTCAAGATGACTCGTTCGCGAACAGCTCGTCTTCGGCTCATCACGCAAACAAGCTGGACACAAACGGTGATATTATTTAAGGAGTTGAACACGAGCCGAGCCTAAGTTCGTTCAATATCGACTTCGTTGACACCCCTAACCTTATGATGCCAACTTTCACGCATAAAACTAAAATTAATTCGAATTAATTTTGAAATCATGTCAAATCATACCAATTAGTTATCTAAAATCCAAAAAAATTTCGCACGAACGTCGTTAAGAAAAAAGGGTTCCCATGCAGCAGGAGCATGACATAGAATTCATATCGATCATGCTGACTATAATATTTTAGAATTTTTAGTTTACATGAATTAAATCTAATGCCTTCAAAATCATTAATGGTTATGTTTTCATTGCATTTAATTTATTAAATGTTCATGATGGAAGCCTCTTGGAGTAGATACACCGTGAATTTATTGCTACGTTTAGGGTCTCTTTGGGGCAACTGTAATGCTTAAAAAGTTGATGCACAATAACAGTGCGAGGAATCTGTTGCGAAGAAGTTATGTGTCTGTTTGTTTTGTAAGGCTATGTAGCAAGCAGCTACTTTTTATAAAATATATATATATTTTTTAGTTTATATATTATTATATTGTTTATAAGATAATTGATCCAAGCAATAAGTCATACATAAAAATAAAAATTATATTCAGAATCTCAAAAAAACTCGTAATACAACAATCAAAATCAAAAATAAAAATATTAAAACAACAATTAACGTTATCATGATATTGATTTTGAAATGCAGACAATTTATTTTATGAGATAAATTCTTTCTCCAAAGACTCTCTACGTCTGATTATTATTTGAGGTAGAATAGTTTAACTGATCTGCCCACCTATGGAAGTCACAGTCCTCTTTCGATCCAGTCCTTGGACGCCTGTAATATTATCTCATGGTTATTTTCTTTCTTGATGCAAGTAGAAAAAATTGCAATCCAAAGTTGCAATACAAGAATCTAGAGGCATTGGATGTCTTTGAGCTCATATTGTTTGAAAAGTTAAATATCACAAACATAAAATTAGATTGCCTTAATGGTACGACGATACAGTTACATAAAAATTTACTTAATAAAATTTATTGAAATAAATAATTAAATATTTATAAAATTGTGAGGCCTTGGAGCAAAGGTAAACCGATGAATAATTTGTCATTATAAGAAAACATAATACAACATAGAAATGAGGGACTCTTGGTTGCCTTTAAACCATGTAACACTGAGCTCATAAATGTCACAGAATCATATCACCATAAAAGCCCTCCAGAAGAAACCCAAGAGTCATATAACTAAAAAAGAAGGGGATCTAGGTTGCTTAATGGGGATTTCATACTTGTCAAAATCCATACCAACATAAAAGATCATCTAAAAGAACCACTAAGGTTATATATCTTATCATAAACCTTTAAAATAATTTTTTAAAAAGTAAATAGGAATTAAGTGATTTGGGTGGTATGTATGTAAAAATGAATGATATGATTATATGTAATATGAATGATTTGGGTGGAAAAATGTAAAAAAACCGAAAGAAAACAAAACAAATTTTAGGTGTTAGATATGTAAATAAATAGGAATTGAGTGATATGCGTGCAAATGGATCTCTGATATGCCATAAAAAATCCATCCAATAAAAATATATCTCGAATCAAATTACATTGCTCTACAAAACATATCATGTCAAAGCCTGCAAATTCTATATAGCATGTCACAAGAATATATGTGCTCAAACATAATTCATATTGCATGATATGCAGGTTACCATGAACAGTCAAAGTATACAAAAAAATAATAATAATATGTCAACGAGCAATCTAATCTAGTACAACATTATGCTCTACAGAGAGAAGTGTTTTGCCACTCAACCTTTGTAAAAAATGTTGTTAAGTACATAGTTTATTTTGTTAGACGGACAAAACCTGCATTGAAGGAAAAGAATAGGGTGCAATTGGGTTAATTCAAGGCATGTTCCAGCTAGAAGAAACTGCAATTTTCAGCAAAGACAAAAGAGAAAAAAAAAAGATCAGGACAGTGAAGCTTTGGTCCTTAAAAGAATTAATTTAGATTTTTAAATTAACTACCTCGTATGAATACTTCATTAGCATTCATTAATAACAGTCTGATTCAAGCAAAAGGAGTGTGATTGGTTTTCAGGTTTCAATATTGTATAATTGTTATGCTGTGATTTTTTTTAACGAAATAAAACTGCATGTTTAGAGAAAAAATAAATAAATAAATAAATAAAACTGCATGTTTGTTGCGACATAAGTATTGCCCAAGTTCGTGAACTTTTGAATGATATGCATGTATGGTAACGTGTTCCGGTCACGTAATTCACATACAGTCATAGATGAAATATCGGAATTTTATAAAGTAAAGTACGAGAAGAGCTATAGCTACAATTGGTGTTTTGTTTTCATTTTTGTTAGCATAAATATAAATCAGATGTAATATGTCATACAGAGGCGTATTTAACATATTAATCTTTGGACATACATGCCACTCAATTTCTATGTATTTATGTATCTAACATCTACACTTCAAATTTTACAAACATACCGCCCTACTTATAAATGAAAAGGTGTATTTCACTTTTTAAAAGTTAAGATGGTGATATTTTTGATGTGATATGTAAGACTGTGATGGTACAAATGTAAAAAAAACAAAATTTTAGATATGTAAATGCATAGGAATTGAGAGGGATGTATGTAAGTACTCCTTAATCTTTTAAATGTTCAATATCCCCGAGAAGGGAAGAAAGAAACAAGTTTTTTTTGCAGAATGGATTTAGCCAAAGTGTTGCCATGGGCAAAAGAGAACTAAATGAAGTTTTCTAAAAAATTATCCACCAGCTGCAATTTTTTAATATTAATGAGCGCCAGTCAAAGGTGTCCTGAAAATCTATAGAATTTAAGTTATCAATTTATCATTATCAATCAAAAAGAAATAAAAAAGCTAAATTTGAGCATTTACATGATAAGACTTCTATTTTAATAGTATTCTTCTCCAAATTTTGTTTTCGAGTCAATTTGTTCTACAGTCTTCAAAATAACTGTTTAATCTACAAAATTAAGAAGGGGGAAGATTTACATACATCCAACTCCTATGTATTTACATATCTACTGCTTAAATTTTTCTACCGCCTTTCCTTTAAGAAAGATTGGAATGGTATAAATGTAAGAAATCAAAGTTTAGGTGTTAGATATGTATATATATAGGAATAAAATGGTATGTATGTGAATGCCCCTTAAAAAATATACCCTCAAATTCTATCATTTACGGTGAGAAGATTTAACTGTCCAACAATAATGTGATAAAATTACTAAGAGATGACCTATAGAGGCCTTTACATGGAATTAATTTTCTCATGTATCTTGATAATGTCATCATCCAATATACTCTAAATATTAGGAGAGAACACTATAAAACTCACAAATGTTTTCTCATGCAATGTTAACCATTTATCAAGGAACTTACATTGCATACATTCGATGATCATATATGGCATACTTTTAATGATGGTGAAGAGGATAGAAAATGTTGATATTTAGAAAGAGAATGTTTAGAAATTTTGAATAGAAGGAAATACGGATATTAATTGTAGCATATATAGATTAAAAAAATAGTCATATCCCTGCATGTATATGACAATACGACCAATAGTAAGAATATCGCTTCATTAATAGCAATTATTCATATTTGCAATGTTATTACTAATAATAGCATAATGCAAATGTAAATAACATCAACATCAACATGCTTAAGATCAGTTTCATGAATCATAATATTTCATGTCCTATGAAGTAATGTTAAAACTTATTTTGCACTTTTTAGACAATCTATATCCAAGTTTTTACTATTAACATTTTTTATTCATAATACTTCAATAGTATGTCTATGTATCTTCTTGCTTCTCCTACCCTCAATTGTATATAACTAAATCATTTAAGCCTATTTTTCACTATCTTATTATCAGAATGTGCTACTCCCTCTTACAATAATTTCTATATATCCTTCCTAGTACATCAGCTTAGTAGTTTCATTTATGTCACACTTTTCTACAATACTAACGAATTCCTTAACAATCCAGGCTTCCAACCACACAACGTAGTTGATTTAATTGTAATTTTATACAATTAACCTTTAAGTTTCAATAATTTTCTCTTATAGCATAGTAGGGCTAAGGCACTTCTCTTTTCTACATACCATACCTAACTATACAAATTATATTCTCATTTATATCCCTATTTTTACACAAAACTGAAGCATTTTACATCTCAACATCACTATATTCTAGTAATAACTGTTGATAATAATACAAACTAATTACATATTATAGATTACTCCTTCACCTTTAAATAATTTCTCTATTGTTAGCTTGTCATTTATTTCAAACCATTAGAGAGGAAATTAGTTTTCGGCACCTTGCTAGCCGTACCCAAGTACCTATATATAGGCAACCAGAATGCAGAATGAGGGAAATATGCTCAATTATAAGAATATAATATCATAATAAAATCACATATTGCCACTCAAATATTTTACTAACAATAACATTCCTCATCAAGCTAAGGCATATATATAAACAGTAAGTTATAGTTGGTTACAAAAATTGAAAAACAAAAAGAAAATATGGTCAATGTATCAATAAGTTTGAGCTTGTTATAATGATTAGAAAACAAATAAATCTCAAACCCTTGGTAAAGATATTAACTAATCCTTCTTCATTGAAGACGTTGGTTGATGATCCATATGCACACCCACCAAGATCAATAGTTAATCAACAATAGATCAAAAACAAATTATTAATTTTTAAAAATGGATTACTAAAAGAGACAAATTGAAATACTTCATTTAAGATGAACCAAATTTGGAATACGATGGTTAATTCCATTAGGAGGATTTTTGTAGCAATTTTAGAAGAGTCTAAAAAACAAATCATTCATTGATAAAAAGACTTAGTGATAGAGTGAGGAGGTAAAAGGGTGATTAAGAAAAATAAATTAAGTTTAAGAATCGGACATAAATTGAATATTAGAAAAGCTTATAATACTTGTTAAAAAGCTTAAGTCTCACAATAAGAACAATAAGTTGGGCAAAAGTTATAGCTTTGGATGTTGATAAAATAAACTTGGTACTAGAAAAGAGAAAGGGATATGCATGATAACTTAGAAAAGAGATATGAGATCTACAGAATCTGATCAAATTCAAAACTTTAAAGAGAATATACTAAAATATAGGTTAAAAATGAAAACATCAAGGAAAAATAAAAATGTTACTTGAATAATTGCTAAATAATAAATTAAAGCAATAAAATATTTTTAAAAAAGCATAACAAAAAATATGGTTGAGAATATTATAGATTGATTAAAAAAAACATAGTTAGCTTTAAAAATAATTCATAAAGGAAAACCTTTAGGCCCCAAACAATAAATTGAGATTTGGAGAGCTGGCCTATTGCAGTGATTTCGTTAAATTTTTTAAAAGAATTTTGAAGACTAAGAAGATGACAAGGATAAGAGATGTATTTTGTTCCTAACATTTAAGAACAAATACTTACAGTTGTATTAACTAAAGAATAATCAAACTTATGGGCTCTATATAATGAAAATATGTGAGGAAAAAAAAACCAATTTGATATCATGCCAAAAATAATTACTAGGAAAGCAATTTTTTGTCAAAATAATTAATGGAGAAGCGGAAAGAGCATTATTATTGAGAGCGACAACCATAATATCATCACATATATCCAACAGGCGATGACCACTACCAATTGGAAGCTACATCCACAAGTAATGGAAGATCTCTCTTCATTAACTCTTTTCAAACATGTTTAATTCCAACATATAGATAGGGAGAAAAATATAGTTGGTCATACATGTACTCAAAAAATAATACAGGCTTTTTTTTTTTTTTTTTGTTAGGAATATTTATAGTTCACATTTCCTTTTTTCCTTTTGTTGACTTTGACCGGGCCCGCATTTTGACAGGCTAGGCCGCTTTTGTATCATTTTGTACTCCTTTTTGTTATAGTAATGCAAATGCAAATTTCAAGGATGACTGAAACTTAAGGAATTATTATTGAAGGCAACTACAAGAACAACATTACTCTACTACAAGGTAGCATGGATCGGAGGAGTTGGAGTGCCTGACCTCGCCCAATTATTGCTTTCTTATGCAGTTCAAGAAAGTTCTATTTTTGCCACTTCTCTAGGGACAGAAATAAAACTGCCAATCTGTGCAAAGGTTACTTTGCAGGATAGTTTTTGTTTGAGAAATGTAAATAATAGTTATCCTCTTTTTAATTTATTGAGGATGGCATGTCCCATTTTCGACATGCATAGTTTTATATTTTGCATACTTTTGTATTTTTGATTTTATTGCAATCTCGGCATCTTTTTAAAAAAAAAAAATCTATACATCATCCACAGCCTTCATGACCGATAAGATAAAATCGAGTATTCAAATATTCCCTTGAACTTTGACCTCTTCATTTTTAATAGATCATGGTTACCATACTCCCATTCCACAATATCATGGTTGCTTCCGTGCATGCTCATACCAATCAAACTAAAAGAATGTTCTGGTGATCAAATCAAACTATTAAACTCCTTGGAATCAAAATTTCCATTGTGTGTCGAGACCTTCAACTCCGTGTCAACTTTGACTAAAAAATAATTGTTTTACAAAAATCCCTACAAAATATTCCTTTTCATGCCTGGTCATCTTACCATGATTTACATGATGGGAAGATGGTTGAACAATGCAAATTGATGTTTCTTGAATCATCCGATTAAAAAATATTTGAAACATGCCCATTAAACTATCCTTACCTCTTCTCAAATCATTCCCGAATGTAACAAGCTTGAAAGGTCATCTTAAATTTGTTATTTCTAAAGTTGTGTTGATTGAACACAAAATTGCAAGTGAACTAGTGCTAACATTCACTCTTAATTTTGCCATTATTTCATCTTGATTTCACAATTAAAATCTATGTTATGGTACCAATTTTGATCCAATTTCAAGAGTTTTGTCTTAAAAATCTCAAGTAAGAGATAAAAGGTTTTTAAAATCTGATTGGACTTTACCCAAGCACCAAGCTTGTTGTTTCTAAAGAGGAAAACTCTTCGTACTTATATTCAACCCCATGGAGTCAATGCCCGCATACATAAAAATGCCAGGAGATAATTGATAGCCATTTTGAGAGGCTGTTGGAGACAATTGGAACCTCTTCAAAGACCTGACAGAAATACAGAGAGGAGGGGTAAGACTGACTAGAGAGTTGAGGGTTGCAGTTAGATGAAGAAATTTGATTGTTTAATTCATTACACAAACGAGAGTTTAAATAAACTTACAAGGGTCTTAAATAAGGAAAAAAAAACAAATCTATATTTTTGGAAAGATACTAAATAAATTCATTGGCTCTATAAATCTGTAAATAAGGAAATCAAGAGCAAAAGCCCAAAATGATCCCCCAACTATTAAGAAGTGGTCAATTTAGTCCTGGAGTTTCAAAATGCTGCAATTTAGTCCCCAAGTATTAAAAACTTTTATAAAATAGTCCTAAATCAATTATAACGTTTAACGGTCAGCTTCAAAATTTGAAGGGCAAAAATGTCTTATTATATTTTTTATGCGAATTAAACACTGCCCCCGGCTCCTAGGCTCATTGTATTCTTACAAAAATCCACCTCAACCCTAAACGTTCGGTGCTCTTCCATTCGCGGGCTGCTCAACTCACGGGTTGCTCCTGTTTCACCATTGTTCCCCTCCTTGCTCATTTACGCTCGTTCAGTGTTGCTCTACTCGACAGAGCAATCTTCGCCCACCATTCACTGCCCCTCTACCCGACGAAGCGGCCATAGTTTCCACCCGCACTGTTTGCGCCGACGGACAAGCTTCGAAGAAACAGGTAACATATACTTTTCTCCAACCCATGACATTCTTTAGATTTAATCAGATTTAAAGCAATATTTAAGTTGCATTTAACTCAAATCTTGTCAGACATTCATTATGGACAAAATATAGCCGAGAAGTTACCTTCCTCAATGGTTTCGGGTAGGGAAGTTACCTTCCTCAATGTTCGGGTAGGAGAGTAGGGGAAGGAGGAGAAAAATGGAAGTTTTGGGTAACTATAAGACATGATCCCGTTGTTCTCTTACCAACTAGCTCCAATTCTGACTATAGTTTTGGCCAACTGCAAGTCGTGATCCCGTCGTTCCTTTACTAGCTAGGTCCAATTGCGATTGTATCGTCAGCGGTCACGAAGAAGTTGGTTTTGATCGTTGAGAGAGAGAGGAGTGATTTTTATTTAAGTTTATTGCATTAACTTAATTGATTAACAATTAATAACTAATTAATAAATTATAAAATTAATTATAAATAAATTTATTTATTTAATATATTTTTTGTTTTATTATTTTACTCTATTTTGTTGGGATCTCATCATAACATTACTATAATTTGTGCATTGTTAGGTTTAGTTTTTTATAGATTCTTTCAATTTTGAGTTTAAATATAGATTTGTGTACATTTAAACTCAATTCACGAATTGTACTTTGTACATGTGTATTTTAACATCAATTTTTGTTATGTGTTATGGATTTAGTAAATTAATTTAATGTAACAAAATTGCTTTTTTTTTCATTTAGAGCATTTGATTTCTGATTTTTTTTTCTGTGTGCAAAAGGGAAGTGACGGTCTATTAGAAAAATGGTTAACAGAGGAGGTGACGAGCATGATGGTCCATCGATGCCAAACATATGTGCGTATCATTTCAATATTTTTTTAATTCATTTTATGAATGTCATAAAATTAAAAATATTATTTGTTATAGGAAATGTTACTGAAAAATATTAGATTATAAGAAATTGTATCTGAATTGCTTGATGATACAAATGTTTCACAGTTATTTGATAGTTTGAGTGAGATGAATAACGTTGAACTAGAAAATATCGAAGACAATGATTAAAATACAAAAATAAATGAGATGAATAATTCTTATGATTATGATGAAGACTTTGAATATAATGTTTCGGATGATTGTGAATAGTTTACAAAAAATGATTACAACATTCATGAATATGACGAGCTATTTGAAAGCAATATTGATCATTATGTTGAATTCACAGTTATAACAAATAAATGTGAGAAGAAGATTGAAGAGTGCATTCAAATTTCCAATGAAATGTTGGAAAAAAAATTTTATGATAGTGATTGTATGAATTCCAATGATGAAGTCAGTATTCACAACAACGATGATAATAGCATTAAGTGGCCAGTTTTCAATCTTATGGCATAGTTTCAAAAATATAACCTTGAAGTTGGAATGTTAATTAGTGGTAAAGATGAATTTAAAGAAGCAACGCAAAATTGGTCACTTGCTAAAGGAAAGATTATAAAGTTCTCAAAAAATGATAAAAAATGTACAAAGCTACTTGCAATAAGTCTAATTATTCATTTCATGTGTATATTTCAAAGCATGAGGGAAGTCATTCATGGCAGAAAAGATCTTTTCAAGAGCATATCTATTCATGGAGTTATTATAACAAAACTTTAACCTTCACAATTATAGCAAAGAAATTGTGAATAAAGTAAGGATGAATCCGCAGTGCAAAGCTAAATTGTTTAGAAGAGAAGTAATAGATGAATTGAAGTTCCATGTTTCAAAATTAAAAGCTAGGAAGGCAATCGGCAAAGCATGCGAGTTGGTGCACATGAAGAAGGACAAACAATTCAAGAAGATATGGGATTATTGCTTGAAAATTACAAAAAAAAAAAAAAATCCAGGAGCAACTATATCTGTTAAAACAACACAAGACATAGATTTGGAGGGCCATCTGAAATTTGTCAGAATGTAAGTCTGCTTTGAAGCGTGTAAAGAAGGCTTCCTATTAAATTGTAGGCCAATAATTGGGGTTGATGATTATTTTTTGAAGGGGCCAACTATTGACTAAAATTTGCTTGGATGGTAATAATAACATATTTCCAATAGTATGAGCGGTTGTTGAAAGTGAAACCAAAAATATTTAGGAGTGGTTCTTGGATTTCTTGGCAAGAGATTTACATATTTTTTATAATCAGTTCAAGTTTACATTTGTCTCAGATAAGCAAATGGGATTTATGCCTGCTTTTGAGCATGTTTTGCTAGATATTACAAATAGATTTTCTGTGCAGCATATGCATGGCAATTCTAAGTTGGCAGGATTCAAGGGGTTGCTTTTGTGGGCAACAACAAAGAGTACTATAGTATATCACTTTACATAAATTGGATCATAATGCTTATTAGTGGTTGGCTAAAAAACAACCAAGTGGTCTCGATCACACTTTAATTATATCTCCAAATGTGATACCCTACTTAACAATATGTGTGAATGCTTCAACTCTATCAACCTGTAGACATGAGAGTTGCCTTTTATAGCTATGTTTGAGAGTATTAGAAACTTGGTGATGATAATGATGCAAGAAAAAAGAGAGTTCAACGAAGTGGAATGCTAAATTTTGTCCAAAAGATTGGAGAAACACTTCGAAAAAATATATATGAATCTACAAATCGTATTGAAGTGAAAGCTGCTGGTGACAACTAACAAATCACAACAATGCAAGGGGCACAATACGTTGTCAACTTAAATGATATGTATTGTAGTTGTAGACGATGGGAACTAACTGGCTTGCTTTGTATTCATGCATGTGTTGCAATCAATACGCGTGAGCTTGACCATGAACATTTTATCCATAATTATTACACAGTTGATATGTGTAAAAGAATTTATGAGCTCAATATTATGTCTATCAATGGTCCTGATGAATGACCTAAAAGTAATAAAGCGCATCTCTTACCACTAAAATATGATAAACCTACAAGAGGTCGGCCACAAAAGTTAAGAAGAAGAGGTTTAGATGAGCAACCAAATGACTCACAAAAGAGAAGCTTAAGTAGGTCAATTGCGGCTTTACATTATAGCAAATGCAAAAAAAGCGATCACAATAGCAAAATTTGTGGCAAGATGAAAAAGAAGAAAACAAAAGCTCAATTTGCTCAATCACTCCAAGTCAAGGAAATCTTACAAGAACAATTGTATGTTGAAGAATCAAATGATAATAGTACATTAAAAAGTATAATGAATTCATATATTGAATTTATTGAAGTAAAAAATGAATACCCTAGTCTTTGTGTAATTAATTTATTTGGGTATGCTCAGTTAAGGGATATTGATCAACATTGCGATTTGCAAACTATATCAACATTGGATGTCTCAATACAAGAACCAGTTAATAAAAGATATTGGTTAGTTACTAAATAAAATTCAGTAAAGAGTCATGTAGTTTGCCTTTTCATATATGAATATGATTTTTTTTAATAAGTTAACAGGTTTACATTTCCAAAAGAAAGAAGACTGGCTAGTGAAGTTTGGAGAATTTCATGGGAAATCCAGTTTTATAGTTTTGAAGTTCTTTTCTATAAACTTCATCTTATAAATTTGTGTCAGGAGTATTTTGGAGTTTTATAGTTCTGCAATCAATGACAACAAAGATTTATATTAGATAATATGTATTTAATGTTGTAACGATTTGAAAACTAAAATTTTTTGCAACATTTAAAAAAATTATGATGGCTTGATGATTTGACATATTTTAGTACAACTATTTTTTGCAACTTTATGGCCACATTTTATAATTTTTGCAATTAGATTGATGAAGTGAAAATACTTATGATTTGTAAATGAAGCTTCACCATATTGTTTGTCTTAATAACTTGATCGTCTTCCATTGTCCTTTTGAGAGATAAAGCAACATGTGTGGTGATGGTGACCATCTTTGTTACACTTATAGGCAATTCTTGGCATTGATGGGATATATGAGAATGGGGTTTGCGAGTTCTTTCTATTTTCTGGTCGGAGGAATACAAAAAAAAATAGCCAATGAAGAGTTTATTGGTGGTGTTATGCACTTATGCCCATGGCTATTACATCTTGTGCCAGTTTTTCAGGCAAGAGAAATGTGAAGTATTTGGCACTTGACAAGAATTGTGGCCATTTAACATTAATGCTCTTAATGATGGGTTCACATTATAAAGAAGGATATGCATCAGGACTTGTAATTCTTTTTATCATTTTAAAATTTTCAAGGCTTAAAATATAATTTTGTTTGAAGGATTCTTTTGATTGACTTCTCATATTGTATTCTCATGTTTTTTTTCATGAATGATAGTATAAATTAATCATTGAACCTATTTGGGCAGCTTGAAGGAGAGGTGAGGGGCCCAGTTATAGTTACTTCGCTCATTTTATTTTTTTTTAATTTTTTTCTTCACGTGTCACTTTATTTTATTCAACTGTCCAAGCATTATTCAAACTACTAAAGACGCCCTTATGAACTTCATTGCGAGCTTCACCTTAGGGACGGTTTGTTTTCAAGATTTAGCTCATCATGTAGTTTTTTTAGCTACATAAATTTTACCGATTTCTTAAATTTTGTTTCACTTCCCATATTAGGCTACGAGAAGAAGTAAATTTTAAGATATTTTTTAATCACTTTTTAAGATATTAATAATTGAACTTAATCAGTTTATGAGATTTGGTTAAGGAGATTTATATATAAACAAAATAAATTTTGAATAATTACATAAAAGATCAAAATACCCTTCAATTCATGTATGTCACCGTTAACTTTAAAGGAAAATATGATTTAGAACTAATTTAGAGTAACTTTTAATAATCGGGGACTAAATTGGAGTATTTTAAAAGTTAGGGACTAAGGGTCCATTTGGCGCAGCTTATCCCAGCGTTCGGCATTTTCATAACGTCACGGGGCCTTTGGTTAGTGCGTTGGGGCTGGAGGCCGGATAACGCGCGTATGGTTTTATGTTATAACCCGAATGATTTATGGCCGCTCCCTATACCCTACGTTCAGCGTTCCATCGCAACTTATTACTTCTGAGCCCTCGATCCTGTCTCCGTTCGGCAAAGTCGCGTCGAAGAGGGGGAGAGGCGACGACTTAGGCAAGGTTTCGAGCTAGAGGGATCGCGAGAGATGAGGGAATGGCTCACCGACGCGAGGAGAGGAGGCGGCAACCGGGTGGTCGTCGGCGAGGACCGCCAGCCGGCGGCTTGGAGCGAAATCCCAGAGTCGGCTAGGGTTTTCGCGAAAACGAGGGTGGTGGCTGTCTTGCGTGCGATAGATAGGGGAGAGAGAGTATGCGATGATTTTATAAGGATGATAATAATAATATTCAATTAATCATCAATCCGCACATTTTTAGCCTGTACACGTCTTCACAGTGAAGTGGATATCCTTCCTGACTAAAATCGACGTTCTGGACTCATTTGTGCAATCATTTTCGTCATCCGGGGTCATTCAGACCACTTATTCAGCAATCATGCTTCTGTTTTGTCTTGTGGCTTCTGTTTTATCTATTATTTTGCTCATACAGTTTCATTGCAAACAACTTCACTAAACAGGAGTCGAATGGTCCTTTATCCAGCAACAGGTGACAATAAACTGTTCTGCATAAGCTCCCCCAAACAACAAGACAGTTTATCATGATAATCTGCAGATTATCAAATTATCACGATAAGCTGCGAACAGCAGATTATTAATAATTTACAGCTGCCCCAAACAGACCTAAATTGACCTCTTCTTAATAGTCTGGGGGGCCATTTTGGGCTTTTGCTCGAAAATAAATAACAAAACTCCTCATTTAAGGTATTGTAAGTCCAGAGGAATTGAAAACCAAAATTCACCTCGAAAAGGCTGATTGGTCTCCCTCCTTGGCCTAGAGGGATAAACTATGATCCTTGATCCTTCTAGGTCATGATTATATGATCATTAAGCTCTAGCTCATGCCTTATTAAAATTCAAAAGATGAAAAATACTTATTGATCACATTTTATTAGCTCTCATAATAATTTAACTATTTATTAAGCATGTTGGAAAGAGAAAATGAAAGAATGTCATATAATTGTTCTTTTAAAAGATAAATTTTATATGTTTTTTCATTGTATTTCACTAATTTAAAATGTGAATGATAGAATGTCATAAAGAAGCCCATTTAAAAGAAAAGCTCAAGTGATCTCTCTGTGTATTTCACTAATCAAAACTACTGAATTCACTTTAAACATCATTAAAAATCCATATATATGAGAATTCAAGCCATTTGAAATCCTCTAAAAATTAGAAGCAATTATTTTCTCATGCAATCAAAGTCATCCGTAAAAATTGATTATACATATAATTGATAATCAAGAGTTCTTAGAAGTTCTCCCTTTTAATAATGTGCTAGGAAAAATGGATGATTCAGTCTTACATTTGAAGATCAAAAGATTGAAAAATAAATGACATGTAAAATGATGATTCTCAACATGAAAGGTTTATATTCAGCTTATTAACTAGAGAACTGAAGAATGTGCCCTTCAAAATCACAGTAATTGGCATAAAAGAAAATAGAAATTACGAAGGTTTTCCGTATTCCACAAAAGCTCATAGAACAAAAAAAAAAGCATTTAGGTACAGTTAGACCACACAAGGATCTAATGAATAGATGATCTAGTGGATTATTAAGACAGACATCCAGAAAAGCAGAAGGGCTGAAGGCAGATACCTTTAGGGGAAATTGCTAAACTTTATATTCATTAACATGCATCCATTTGGTAGAGGACCATTTATTCCCTTTAATCACTGGGCATCCACCTGCAAGAATTAAACATGAATTCATATAGTTCACAGCATAAGTGGTGACTTAAATAAATAGTATATAGATGAAACAAAGTTTAGATAACATTCAGGAGAGTGCTGGAAGTCACAAAGATAATCACAGAACCATCTGGAAAGCAACTGGCATACAAATGATTTCTAGAGAGAAGGATAATAGCAAAATGTACCATGTAAACTGGATGGATCGAGAGTTGCATCAGGCTTCATGCTCCAGAAAAGTAAAGCATCTCCCATTTTAGGTCGAAAAGAAAGGCCCTTCTTTCCACATTCTGATAATTCATTGTACCACGGTAAAGCACTGCTGTTCATTTTTGCGGCAGGGAACACAGTCTCGCCACCCTCTTCAACATCTGAACTGAAGGACATAACACAAATTTAAGAAAAATGACAGTTTGAGAATCATTAAATCTCCAGAAACAGCCTTGATCACAAGTAAATTATGCAGAACGCATACAGGTACATGAGGAGAGTAGCAATTCTTTGGCCGCCATTTTTAGTATTGAATTCGTCAAGAAAATAGTCAAAGTGAGGTTCATATTTCTGCCCTACTTCATAATGTAGAATTTGAAGCCCCTCCCCATGTTCTGCAAAAAGCATTAATCTTGAGAACAAAACAGATATATGTTTACAGAATGCCAACGTCAAGACAACAGGAAGCAAATATAAGAGCATACACGATGGCATTTAAGGCAAAAAACAGTTGAATGGGATCAGGAACAAAAAAAATTCACAGCTGCAGCCAATTAAAAATAAGAGTCTTCAAAGTGTGTGGGAAGATGAGTAGCAGGTGAGGCATTTGAGCGTCAGACTTGTGGATTGGTTGTAAATCAAGGAAAGCAATGCCGTAACAAATATCTAAAATTAGAATTTGTGCAAAAAAACTCAAACTAATCAACTAAAAAGTACAGGAGTCGGTCATAATAAAAACAAATCCATTCATCATGATATATAAAGCCCAGCCTCAATGAAAATGCTGAAGTGCTGGTTCTGAACTTTTTTAAAAATGCATTATAGATTAACAAATTAAATATCTTAAATATAATCCAAAGCTTAGGTTCTTAAACCAATTAAATTGACATAAAAATTCATGATTTTGCTCCATGAAACACCTCAAATTATAAGACTGCTGCTCAGCAATGCCACCAACAGTCCTGACTATCTTAGCTAATCTGCATCATATAGTCAAGTCAGTTGCAAAAGAAAATAATAAATCAACTAAGTATAACCCATCACCACCTGGCAACATACAATATGATTGAGGGACTTCAACTTCTTCGCCAAATCCTAGGAGTTAAGGCTATGTGAAATGATTTTGTATTCCACGGAAAGATTTGCGTGTAAATAGATAAGTTAAAACTCTATAATAATAAGAATCATGAAATGAAATTTTATTGACTCGATGAACATATACACGGTCTATTATCTCAGAAACTAGAACAGATATTAATGTAAAGAAGGGTGACTACAACTAAAAGAAACTAAAAAAAAAACCTAAAAATAATGGATACCCAAATCAAAGGAAAATTGCTAGCCTGAGAAACTGTTTATTGAATATTTTTTTCTTAACTACCATCCAAATTGCATCAAGATCCCATTTAGACATAGGCAAGCCATCCATAAACTTCATATCAACTTCTTCTCGCTTTCATTATGTAATAGGAAGAGGTAAAATTATCCATCAGACTTCAAATGTTTATTCTTAATTATCTGAAAGGTCAAACATTTAACTCAAAAGGTTTGCCACATCTTTTTTCATGTCAGGCAACAAGAAATATTTGTTAAGATCTTAATACATCTTGCTATTCCCTAGATGAACAGACTACAATGAGTTGTGCACTCATTAAAAGTGTGTTTGTTTTGACTTTTTGAACCACGTTTTGGTTCAAAACCGCGTTTCACACGTTTGTTTGCAACCTCAGCCGGAACGGCGCGTTCTCTGCACAGCCAAATTTCACAAATTTGAAGAAGCGAGCAGTTTGGATATTTCATTCCAAACTTACCACGGTGTCATTTAAAACGCCTGCCACAAAATTGTACCATATCAAAGTTAAGTGATATTAATATATGTAATTATCTCTTAATAAATTTATGAATTCGGGCCATTTACATACATACCACAGAATTTTGTTAGTAACAGGCATACCACAAACTTCTTATTTATTATTACTTTATTATGTGTACATACAACAAATATTTAGATAAAAAATTTGTATCAGGCTATAACATATATAAAAATCAGTGAATTCTCTTTCCAAAAAATCAAGTGTATAAAAATTTTTATAAAATATTAGCATAGAGGTATTCCAAACATTTATCCATATATAGCACTTTCAAAGCTAAATTTTTAAAACAGAACAACTGCTTCTGGTACACTAGTTTTTAAATAGCATATTTTCTACGACATCTTTCAAACCGAGATTTCATACAACCAAAATTGTCCCAACCGGACCTTAAGTAACTTATAGCAAAGTCCTGCATGATCAGGAACACAGATCATCTCCAAATCTCAACACATGCATGATCAATAATAGACTCAGACTTCAATCCAAAAATAAAATAAAACTTATATTAAACTAAATTAATAAATAAATAAACTGAAACTTCAATCCATTATGAACGTAATCTCTGCACTACATGAATCTGATTGAATTTGTTAGTTGAATAGACATATGAGATTTTATAAGTTGTCCCAATATTTGAAGATGAAGTTGCTTCATCTGAAACAAAAATTGTTCTCCTTGGGTCATCAATCAAGCTGCATAGTTTGAAGTCTTCCTATTCAAAGAAAGTACAACCACGTTAGCCTTAGCCTAGATGGTATTGAATCAACAAGTTGTTGTCTTCAATTAACACCAAACATCAACTCTACCTCAAGTTCAATTCCCTTTGAATAAAAATATACTTAAAACTCTTGTGATTAGTTAAAACCTCACATAGAACTACATAAAGATAAAATTTACAGATTTTCAAATCAAAAACAATTGAAGCCAACTTTGAGTCATGAGCAGAACTTCAGAAAGTTGGGGACAATAAACCACCACCATACTATGCGACATTGTAACTATGCCCAAACTCTAACAGGATAGAATAGTCAAATATATTAATTTCAAAACCAAAATTTTATAATTACCCTAGACTCGTCAATGACTGTTGTTTGATAAACTAGTTAAAGCAAATGTGTTATCATTTATCTAAAATTGTTTTAATATAGGTTCTTATTCATACTATTTTGCTAGAATAATTTATGTTAAAGTCATAAAAAGATTTGCCTTATATTTGTTAAAGGCTTACCTATGTATTTAATAAATTCACAATCAGGGGTTATACATTCATAGAAATTTTATTCATATTGATATGATGTTGGTTTTGCCAATTGTTGCATGACTTCAATGCCCTTGAAATAAGCAGTGAAATGGCATATTTGGTAATATGTATATTTCCTTAACTGATGTAAAATAAATATAGCTCATATCAATTATGTACTTAACTAATATGATGAAGAATTAGATCAAAATGTTTGTAGAATCTTTGTTTTAAATCCTCGATCAGGAGATAATATTTACATAAGCTAAGCTACACTTGTGTATCAGATGGTTTTGACTTTGATATTGTTGGTTAGATTGGCTAGCATAAAGTGACGGCTTTCATGGGTTCAATTAACAACATCAGGTTGATTAAAACCTTCCTCAATGTCAAGATATTACATTAGATCGAGATGCATTATAAACTATTAAAATAACTAGTAAGTTAAAATTACTTATGAATAACTAAAATAAGTAGGCCACTAAATAAATTAGCATTTAAATGCATTAATTATTATTTTGGATTTGATTTCTTCATCTTTAATTATTATCTTATAATATTCAATTTGGATGTGACTAAAATGATTAAAATCTATTAATATCTTATATCTTTAATTAGTTACTCTATATAATTCATTAGCTCTTTCTCAAATACCGAATATATTATCTAAATCATCGAATGCAGTAGCATTTGCTTTACTCAATACTCACTTTGGAAGTCATCTAAAATTTTACAATGAGTATAATCTCAATAATATTCAACTTTCAACTTTTAAAATGATATTTTTTAATAACCATTTGTACCTCCTCACTCAACCAAGTCTCCTTATAAGTATGCAAGTGATTACCATACTTCTCAAATTTCTAGAGAAATTATCTTAAAAAAATCAAGTATCTTATCGCACATCAGGCTTGTCTAAACTAAAAATATGTCAACTTGCCTCTATAACTGATATTGACAAATTATCAATTAATCACCTTTCTACTCACATCACATAATCCTAGAGACATTTTTTTTTTGTATTTTTATTAATAATATTAATATAAATATCAATAATTACTAAACCACGTTGCGTGGTCAAGTTTTCTCTTGGAATCCCCTAATTATCTTTGTGAAAAATTTTTTCTTCTCTTCCAAGTAAGAATAGATCGATTTATGATTTCGTTAATCCACTTTTTATAAATACCCCAATATTACTCTCACTTTCTTATAATATGTCAAATAAATATTACAAGGTCATAGGATAACAAAAACAAGTATAACACATCCATTGTATTTTTCACATAATACCTATCCATTATGAAATAGCCCATCCTAGACAAATCTATACAACCATTTAAATCACCTTAAAAACTACTATAACCTAAATTGATACACATTATAATTGTTGAATTCCTTTAAGATGTAGAGTACTATATTATCTATGGGTTCATACGATCTGAGAGACCTTACAAATGAGGTAGAAGTGAGCTGAATATTTTTTAGTGTGCATGCAGTTATCCGTGGTGGTTCGAAAGAGAAGAGAACAAAGTCTTCCCTTCTACTCCTTATTTATATCTCTCATAATGTACTTGTCCTCACAGGGCTACAAAGAATGAGCAAATACTATATTGTAGGTTGCGTTGTACGAACGCTATGAAGACTCGTCGTTGATAAGTTCCTAGGCATTGATGCCATGCTGCTAATAAACGTCATGGGCGTTAATGGAGCTGAATTTCCATCTTGTTTTTCCATCTTGTTGTCTTGAAGGACTGTTCAATGAGCTTGATGAGCTTGCTAGGTCGAAGAGCACGCTAGGCACATGCAAGCTCGATAAAAGAGCTCAAGAAGTGCAAGTGAACTTTGTTCAAGAAGCTCGCTTGAATACCTAGTACTGGTGAGTTCAGCCTAAAGAACTCGCGTAACCATTGGAGAGGTAAATATAGCCATTTTCACCTCCAAGGATGTAGCTAACATGTAGGGCTAGGCCGGTCAAGATCGGTGCTCCAAAATGCGTGGTAAACAGGTTCGATCCATCAGACCCAAAAAGTCCCATTTAATGCTTGGGCTTTCATGTTCCTTTGAATAACTATTTTTGGATCTACATAATAGCAATTCATCCACTTTTTCCCTTTTTTTAAAACAATGTTATAGCTCAAATTGATGGGTATAAGTATTGAAAGCAATCAAATTTTCTTTAATGACAATTATTTTATGGCAATTGATAGACAACTATACTTCTTAACCTCAATAATTTTATCTTTTAATTCTTTATATACTACTAATGCAACAACAATCCCATTGTTAATCTTTCAAAAAATGCTAATGAGCCTTTCACAAATCCTTAGATTTTCTCCTATTCATTTACCATCTTGTAAATAAACAATATTTATTCTTCTTCATAGCATAATATCCACCAATTTTCTTATCTTCCCACATTTCCAAAATTCAATGTGGCAAATGGGATATTAGATATGTACCTTTATAAAATAAGGTTAACTTTGGGGCTGTCGCTTCCAATCAATGACTTAACACTAACTAAATTAAATTTAGATGATTTTATTCTATGCTAGTTGTCAAACAAACATTAACACTCAACCTTTCTCATTCAGCCTAGAGATAAGAAAATGACATTAGCTAAAAACAACTGAAAAATAATAACAATAATTATAGCAATGGTAATAATAGTAATAAAAGTAATAATAGTAATAATTGCATTAGTAGTGCTAATAATAATTATTATAAAAATTTTAAAACAAATTTTGATGGCAACCACAAAAAGGTACGTGCGAATGAATGATGGGATTGCAACATCAGGGATCAGTAACACAAAAGTAACGCACAAATTAACAAAAGTAGTCTCTAGCCTAATCAAGTCTACAAGCCGAACAACACCTGTAGTAAAAGGACAAGTTTCAACAATAAGTGAAGAAAAGGGTAAAACTAAGGATGGGGTTGATAAGCTCATATAAGTTTATACAAACATAAAAAATAGATATTAAAAAAAACTCAAAAGAAATAATTTTTAGAGCAAAGGTTTACATTCTAGTTCAAAGAAATTGAGATAGAAAGTTGTAGTTGATTATGATAATCTTTCTCAAGTGATTTAAAACTGAATTGAGATAGAAATTTGTCGTTAATATTTTATTATTAATCATTTCATTTTAATTAATCATTTCATTATAGTAATCACTTTGTCTTATCATTTAAATTTTGATAAATAGAGATTATCTATCAAGTTTGTCCATAACCTCATTTATTGTTATTTCTTTTCGTATTAGTATGAACAGTCTCATCAGTAGTAGATATTTTTTGGGTTTGAATATAAGTTATTTAACAGTTTAGATATTTTAAGTTGATGCATTAGATCTTTTTATGGTTTTCATTAGTTTTAGTAATCCATTTTTACATCAGTTGATGTTCGCCTTCCTTTATGATAGACTGCTAATATTTTCATCAATTCAATAGAAACTCCTTTCATGTATATTAGGATAATAGATTTGTACCAAGATTTATTTGCTTGTTAATCTTTCTCTATAACAAAAAGTCTTTCGACTTGTACTTAATTCATGAGGTTTGACTATCGATTTAAGGTTAAATAAGTTCATCACATAAAATCATATTATCAAGAGGATAAAAAAAATAACTAACAAATGAAATGGCTAACAAGCTAAGAGCAAATTAATATCTCTGTGTAACAGTCCAACAATTGCTTTAAATTAGCATTTCCTGTTCTGCATAAATGTTCCATATTTTTTAGATCCCAAATCATTCCAAAATGCTAATGGGTGTAAGGAAAACCATGAGATACTATTTAACCAAAAATCAACATTCAATCTACAAGGCAATCATGATTCTATCGAAACATACCCACTGGAATGAAGGTAAAATCAGCTATTCTTTTCTCAATTGCCTTAATAATTTGATCTTTCCCCCTTGAAAGGAACATTCCAGAGCTGGTTCTCACCCTGCAAGCAATGTAAAATTATAAATAGCCTTCAACTAGTCTAATTTCAAATAATATATAAGGTAAATAGGATACCTGCTATCTTTACTTTTGCCAGTGGTACTATCAACAACGGTAGACTTCGCCATATGAGGCTTCGCTAATTCTATAAGATGTTCACATTCCTCTTTTGACTGCATGACACATATATAAAATCAAAGTTTGTAATCAAGACAGAAAACTTTATAAAGCATAAAATGCAATGGGAAAAACTCTGTTGACTGCGAGAAAGATATATAAGATCAAGGTTCATAATTATGACAAAGAAAATTTAATAAAGCTTAAAAGCCATAGAAAAAACTAACAGAAACTTACAAAGCGATGACAACACCAAATGGCCCTTAAAAATTGACCATGCAAAACCTTACAACAATTAAATATAATGAAAGCAAAGAAGGATAAAAATAAGGCCAAGCGACCCAATATTTTCTGCTGGGTAAACAATAGCTCGTGAAAACAGATGCCATCATGCTAACATCGAAAACAGAATAGCCTTAAAAAGAACTCTCTTCGAGAAAAAAACATGAAAAATGCCGATACAGTACAAGACGATACTAGCACCTGACGAGCACCATTTAGTGGAGTACACCATGCTTAAACTCCATAATCTAAAAGTTGAAGGAAGAGGTCTGCGACAAGGAAAAACTATTTTACAAGTATGATTAATGAGATATGAGAAAAGAACATTCCCACCACTCGGATACCATAAAATATTCAAGAGTAGTCACAAAGATCTACGCGCCACTTCACCACGAAAACCAATAAGGGCATCCACGTGAACAAACCACGGAAACAAATCCCCAAACGAAACCCCTCCCCATCATGCCAAACCAAAGGACTTACAAGAAAGTTATGGTATATAAAAGCCCTGGGCTCCCAAGAGAGTAACTCCGTCCACTGCTTTCCTCTCTTCGTCGTCCCATCACTGTAACACACGAAATGCAAATTCGATCCATAAAAAAACACAAAAATTGGCTCATAGCAGATCATCCACCAATCTGATCCACAAAAAAAAGATAGAAAAATGAAGAACAAAGCTGAGCGAGACGCTTACGTATCGGAAATTTCTGTATCGGCGCGGCGGATGCCTTTGGGGGAGTCATTAGAGTCGATCGGAAGGGAAAAGATACCTAGACCTAGCAACATGAGTAGCACTACCGAAAGCAGCAGGAGAACGGTAAATACAAGCGTGTATGGCGCCGATTTCCTGCTTGAGAAAACCCGAGGGTGCCGCAAAATCCTCGCCATGGCAAAGAGTCTAGCTTTTACGGTAAAAGGGCGGCAAGGGCAATAGCTGCACACGCGTTTTGGAGAAACGGTGGATGTTGGTGGTGGACGCAACGCCGGTCTCCAGAAACCGCAGCGTAGAATTCTTGCCCGCAGACTACAAGGTGATGGTGGAGAGGTTATTTACTATTTGAAAGGTGCGCGTCGTGGCCATTTGTACTCACGGGTGTAAACTAGCCGCGCGCTCAAGGCCCGCTTCTGCTGCGCGGCGCGTGCGACAACGGCTTCGTCCGCAGTGCGGTGTTTGGTTCGACAAATCTTTGGCAAAGCCGATCGAAAGCGGGCCGCGATATTAGCCCCGCGGCCCCGCTTTCCTCTGAATTATTGTCCCACTTACCCCTTTCGTTTCTATTCAGCCCTAACAACTTTTCCCTCGCGGCTCTCCTTCGTCGTCTTGCTTCGTAGCCCCCCGATCGACAGATCTGAGGTATAACGAGCAGTTTTCTTCTTCTAATCGCAGATATGAGAGAGCTTATGAGTTTTTTCGAATGTGATGTTTTCTCTTCTCATAGCCTTCCTATTTCGACGATTTTTTCTTTAGCGCATGGAACCTCTTTAGTTCTTTACCCCTTTCTTTCATCATTAGGGTTTTGTCTTTGCTTTCCCTTCTCGTTTGACGCATTCTTGTTTGGTGGCTGATGGCTCAAGAATGGTAGAAGGTTGTGGTTGTGGT